ACAGATTATGAAGTTACCATTATATTATGAAGCTACCAGCAGACTATGAAGTTACTACTATATTATGAAGATACCGGTAGACTATGAAGTTACCTTCATAACCTAATATAAGTCGTCGGTAACTTCATGATATAATTATATCATGAAGTTACCAGCGACTATTTCTCTATATTATTTACTATTACTTAACTCCTTCTCTAATTTATTTTACTTGTTATAACTCAACTCTATATCTAATTAATTCATTATAATCATTTAATTTTATTAGTTGATCATAGATATTTATTTCTTCCTCTATTTCTTTGAAAATTTCTTGTAAAATTTTATTAATTACATTATAATGAATCTTTATATGATTTTATAATGTGAATGACAATTAATCTTTCTTTTATAAATTAAACATATAAAGCTTAGCATTTTTTAAAATTAATTTAAGATAAGAATAAAATATGAATTTTTGTTTAATATATAATTATTTTAAGTTTGTCTTTAATACTAATTAACTTAATTAGTAATAAATATTAATCAGTAATACTGATCAATAATAAATATTAATCAATAATAAATAATTAATTAACTTAATTAATAATAAATATTAATTAATATATTTAATCACATCAATCAATGTATAATAAACAAATATAATGTATTTTAATATATTAATATTAAATATTTTACTATTAATTAAGTAATATATTAATATAATTAATTTGCAGAATGTTTATGATTAACTTAATATAATTAATTTAAATTGATTAACTAATTTATTATAATCAATTATAGAATTTTAGCATGATATCTAAGAATCAATTTAATTTAATCAATAAATCTAGTTTAAATGATTAATTTAAGTTAATCAACAGCTGATTCACATAATTTTAACATTGTTTAAATAAAGGTAAATTATCAAAGGATCAGTATTCATAGTTTAGTTAGTAATAACTGATTTTATTATAGATTAAACTATAATAGCCACAAGTTCAGATTTCAACTGGATATAAAACTAGATGATTTTTTTAAAAATTTTATATGTAACTAAATATGTAAACATATATACTAATATGTGTTTATAATTGATTGATTAATCTATCAATCAGTATTAATTATATCTAAATACTGGATTTTGAAGAATAAGTGAATATAAATAAAGTCAAAGATTGATAAAAACTTTGTCTTTACTAATAGGTCTATAATAGATACTGTTTCATGTCTTCAAACTTAAGAACCTTTATATAAGTAAGAAAGAGATTAACTAGTAATTAATAGATTAAATACTACATTGAGATCTTAATATCTCATGTAATTATAGTAATAATTGGCTTTATTATATTTTTGTAGTATCATCTAATCGAGCTATCACTAGAAGAAGAAAACAATTCAATTTTCAAGTGAATTTGATAATATGAATATGATAGCTACTTACTTTTTTGAAATTGTATAAAAATGAAAATAATCAAATCTTTCCAATTATATATAATATATTCTGGAACTAGTTAATATAATAGTAATTCTGATTGGTGTTAGTAAATACAGAAAAAAGTGACATAAGTACCTATGACTAAAAATAACTTATTTATTCAAATTTGACAGTTGATTTTAAAGTTCTAAAGTCTCTGTGGCTTAATGTTCTGGGGTGCTAACTTAAGTAATAGACCTTGAATCAGTATTAACAAATGTATTCTGATTAGAACTTAAGTTTAGCTATAACCTTAAGAATCTTAATATTATGCTTATAGGATTACTTTATATCTCTTATACGTAAAAATAATCACTGATATAGATTCCTAGTATTTGGATACTGAAACTATAAAAAAAATAAAGGTAAATCATTATTTATAATATAAAAAAAGTTAAGAAATATTTAATAATTTCATCATCCTTTATATTTATTTTTCATATTACTTTACAATGAGTGGACCAATTAATTATAATAATTTAAAACATCCAAAAATAAGATTAAGTACAAAAGGATTAAATACAAAAACAATGGTAATTATATATCAACTGTTTGTAAATCATGTTTTTAAAATTGTTTACCAACTTATTATATATTCTTTTAGACTTCAAAATTAAATACAGCATCTAAAGAAAGTCATTTAACGAATAAATCAATTGATAAAACATTGAAGATTAAACATATTAGAAAAAATGATACTATTCTTAAAAGTCCAAGTGATGTTAAAAGGTATGGAAGTAAAACATCATCATCAGCATTGTCTTAACCATCATCAACATCATCTACATCAATAATGCCATTTAAGACAGGTTCTATTGAAGGTTAAACTTAATTTATACCAGTAGTTCAAACGTTTATTAATATAATATATTATCCTAATTTAGCAAATTTTGCGCAAGAATTAACAAAATTAATTAAAATCAGTCAAAATAATGCAGTGAAGCTTAATGATATCAAGAGTTAACTAGAAGGTTTAGAGAAGAAATCCGAAAATCAGAATACTCAAATATCTGAAATATTGACACTACTATTAATAGAGCGTGAATCTGAAATTGATCCAAAGGCAAAAGATCCAAAAAAAAAAAAAAAAATCAGACGAATTTTATCAAGTAAATATAAATTATTTTTATAATTATATTATTTACTATATTCGTTTATATTACTTGTATTTATTTATATTATAGGATATAATCAAAAATCTTGCATACGAATTATTTCATGAGCATAAAACAATACCTGAAGATCAAATAAAAGAAAGACTTAAAGAAAAATTAAATGCTGACGAATATTGTGCTAGTATCCTTCAGAAATCTGAAGAAAGGTTTATCATTCAATAAGTTGTGGAAAGACAAATTAAATTCGGCTGTAAGTAATGTTTAAATATATCATATTATATCACTAGTACTAATTTAGTAAATCAATCAGATGCTTATTTGATCCAAAAAAGGATATTATGTTAGACGCGTAAAAGAAGGTTAGGTCTACATTTGGTATAATCCGCATCAAGCCGTTTAAGGATACTTTCCCCAAACAACGAGATGGAAGCAAAATGCAAATATTAGAAAAGTATATAAAGAATTGTATGATCGCAGTGACCTGGATGATGATGAATCCGATACATATGTATCTTTAATTATTAAATCAGTTTTCACCAATGGAAAAGAACGAACCACTTCAAATGCTATTTGGGTACAATCAGTTCTTGAAATAATTTTGACGAAAATAATCTCTACAAAAATTGAATCAATAGATATTGATACCGTGTTAGAAACGATGAATGACATGAAAATGGTAAATAATTTAAATAATTTACTTAATTTATATGATATTTTGAATTAATTATTAATTTACAAATACTTTTATATTAGGATTCGGATGATAATGAAGATGACGAAGATAATCATGAAGATAACGAAGATAATCATGAAGATAATGAAGATAATCATGATTTCCAGGAATATTCACCCAACTTTCGCCTCATGATAAGACCGTTGACCATAATAGTATGACGATGTCTTTGGATCATGATAATAGTCTTATGCAATTAAGCGATGATATAGAAATGTACTAATTTTATTTTTTAATTGCGGGAATTTGGCTATGGAAAAGATCGGATCCTTCATTATTTATTTTTTTCGTTAGTTATGATAGGGGGCTATTTTTATTTTATTAAATAAAATATTATATGCAATGTTCAATTAATTGTATTATATACGTTGTTTTACTATATGCCATTGTTCGACATATAAATGGTATTGATCTACATGATTTTGTTTTATTGCTCTAGGCTTAAATGGTGTTGATACACGCGTTTTTAAATGGTGTTGTTTTATTATGCCGTTGTTCTACACTTAATTTACATGTTTTTAATCGGTGTTGTTTTACAAAGGGTTTGTTGTTCAACATTTTTGGTTTTAAGCAACACATGGCGTTTTTCAACACTTTATACGCCGGTCCAAAACTTACTGATGTAAGTCAATATCGCTAACAAGTTTATAGGTTAATAATTAAGAGCTGAGAAGTTACTTCTGCCACTTAAGATCTTTTTTTTGCTTGACACTAGAAACCCAAGCATAGAGGAATCCTTTTTTGGTGACGGTGGTAGTGGTAGTGATGGTGTTATCAGCATCTTGGGAAGTCAACTCTGGAAAAATGAAAGATATGTTGTAAAGGCGAGGAAACATTTTGGCAGTAATTTTTCCTTGCTTTAATCAACGACGCAAGGTAGCTGACGATACTCAAAGTTTCTTAGTTGCTTAGTGTGAGAGGAAAGGTGTAGTTTACGATTTATGATTTACGATTTTGAATTTTTATAATTGCAACTGTATTATTAAGCAAACAATTTTCATAATTTTGTATTTTTGTGCTATTGAAATAAAATATCATTACTATTTAATATCAAATGATTATTCCTGAATTATCTACAAATATTTTTATTAATGATAATAGCTTACCAAGATTCGGTGATTCCTATTCTTGGTCAAAGTTCTAGGAAGGATCGACAGATCGAGATCAACAAGTAATCTAAAAGATAAATACAAACGTGATAAAAAAATGTGACATAATTTTCATGAGATGGATTGATAATTACGAAATACAGAAACAGATAATCGTATACGAATCTGCATATAATTAGTGTTGAACAATATTTAACTTTTTTAAAACAAAATTTTTTTATATCGTTTGTAAAGAAGTATGCCCATACCACCAACAAAATACTCAGTTGAATTACCTAATACACGAAAACCCGGGCAAACCGGAATTTATAGAAATGTTCTTTACCCTGATACTTTAACCGTTACTACAAGGTTTATTACGCTTTTATTTAACAAATTCAAGTATGATTTGCTAAAGCTATTGTATAACTTATTTAAATAATAATGTAGAAAAGAAGTAACGACATTATACGAGAATTTCCAATTTGGTAAGTAACGAACAGTAATAGCCGTGATTGCAAAATAATTTATTTCAATAATTGAAATAACAGTCAATTCTCATTTATAGCTCTCAAGGGTTCAAAGGATAGGAATTGTATCGGTCATCGTCCTTACAACAAACAAACTGGACAATATGGCTCATATCAATGGCAAACTTATAAACAAGTTGCTGACCGTATTGAAAATTTTGGATCAGGAATTTTGCATTTAAACGAAAATGTAAGTTCCATGATCAAATTAAATATGCGAGCGTTAATGTATTAATCAAGGTTTACTATAGGTGATAAAGAATCCTAAATTCGATCAATGGGCAGTTGGAATTTATGCTAATAATAGACCTGGTAAATAAATTTGTTCATAATTTTTGCCCACATGAACTATTGTCCAAATATATTAATACTATACAATTCTTTTGTAGAATGGTTTATTACTGATCAGGTAATTTTAATTATTTACTAAATTAAATTTCAGGTTGTTAACACGTATTGAATTCTCTCTTAGGCCAATTGCGCATATAATCTTATTACAGTCGCGTTGTATGATACTTTGGGACCAGGTAAAAAGTCAAACAATCTATCATTCCCTGTGAACTTATATGAATTAATTATTTTATGGATTTATAGATACTGTGGAATATGTTTTAAACCATGCTGAAATTTCAATCGCTGTTGTTGGTATCAATCGAATTCCTGGATTAATTCAATTGACTTCTAAGATACCAAATTTGAAAGTTATCATCTCAATGGACGAATTAGATGATGATCTTCCAATACCTATTGGAGGTACTACGTCAGGAAAAGTGATAAAGGCTTGGGCAGAAGACAAGGGTCTTACGCTATTAAGTTTTAGTGAAGTAGAAAAGTTGGGAAAGAATAATCCTCGAAAGCATAACCCACCTTCTCCAAATAATATCGCTTGTATTTGTTATACTTCGGGCACTACTGGAGTTCCAAAGGGTGCTCTACTTACACACGCGAATTTCATAGCAGCATCTTCTTCAGTAACCCAAATTTTCGAAGGTGGTCAAGATGATGTATGTTTTCTACACAATATTATTTTATTATCTTTATTATTATTCATTATTCATTAAAAAAAATTTCTTTTTATTTTACCCAATATTTAATAAAGGTTCTTATATCATATTTGCCTGTAAGTCTTTATACTTCCCCCTTTTTTTTTGCTTTCACTAAACACTAATTTGCATTTAAATAGCTGGCTCATATTTTTGGTCGTACTGTGGAAACAACTGCAGTGGGATATGGTTGCAGTATTGGATATTTCCATGGAGATATTCTTTCGCTTATCGATGATCTTGCTGAACTTAAACCTACATTATTCCCATCTGTTCCAAGGTTGCTTACACGTATTTATGCCAAGCTTCAACAAGCTACAGTTGAAGCTCCAGGAATTAAAGGTGCATTATCAAGGAAAGCAGTAGCTGCTAAACTCGAAAGACTAGAAGGAGGACAAGGATATACGCACCCACTATGGGATCGATTGATATTTAACAAAATTAAACAAGTGCTAGGAGGGCGTGTGCGTTTAGTTATAACGGGTTCTGCCCCTATAGATGCTTCGGTATTACAATTTTTGAGAATTGCTTTTGCAACTGAAATTATTGAAGGTAGGTTTAATATTAATTATTAACCATGATTGGATCGAATACGTGGCCCAGGTCGACCAGTCAGAATGCAAGCATTGTTAACTGAATGACCTTAATTGGAGTACTATAATTAATTATTAGGTTATGGACAGACTGAAGGTGTTGCAAATGCGACAATTGGTTTTCCAGGTGAAAACAAGGCCGGTCATGTTGGTGGCCCACAACCATGGTAATTTTTCATATTAAATTTATTATATTAAATAAATATTTTTATTCTTAATAAATATTTTTTACTTTTAAACTATAGTTGTGAAATTAAGCTTGTGGATGTACCTGAAATGAAGTATTTATCAACTGATAAACCATATCCTCGTGGTGAATTTTGTTATCGTGGAAAAAATTGTTTTATTGGTTTTTATAAGGATGAAGAAAAAACGAGAGAGTCTATTGATTCTGACGGGTGGGTTCACAGTGGTGACATATCTTATATTGATGATCGTGGTAAATATATATATGGTTAACAAAATTTTTTTTTTAAATTAATAATTATGTATTAATAAATTTCTCTGTTTAATTTATAAAGGAGCAATCACCATCATAGATCGTAAAAAAAATATATTCAAGCTTTCTCAAGGAGAATACGTTGCACCCGAAAAAGTAATTACAATTTAATCAGTATGCTAAAAATTTTGTATATCTTTTTATTTACATAGTATCTATCCTCTAGATTGAAAATGTTTACCTTAATTCCAAATTTGTACTACAATTATTTGTGCATGGAGACTCTCTTCGTAATTTCCTTGTAGCGATTGTGGTACCAGATCCGGAAACTTTCGTACCTTGGGCAAATGTGATAACAGGAAAAAATATTTCATTGGGAGATGAAGAAGGATTGAAAGTTTTAATTAATGATCCAAAAGTTTGTAAAGAATTTTTAAAAGAAATGGATAATACTGGTAAACGTGCTAAACTCAGAGGGTAAATACTTAAGATTCTGAATCTTTTGAGAATATAGTTTTATAATAATATATATATATATTTATATTTTTTATTTTTTTTTTTGGTTTAGATTTGAATTTGTTAAAGCTATTTATCTTACAAACGAACCGTTCTCCGTTGAAAATAATTTACTTACTCCTACGTAAGTATTTATATTAATGCTCATATTTTATTAAGAAACATACTAATAAGTTTCCATAATTTCAGATTAAAACTTAAACGCCATGAAGCTCAAACAGTTTTTCGTAAAGTAATTGATGATTTATACATTAAGGCTGAATCTAATACTTCCAACACCAAAGCTAAATTGTAAAATTTCGTATTATCATGAAAAAAACATTATTATCTATTTATTAAATAAATGAGTAGTTTCAACTTCTATTCTAAATATACTTATATATATCTAATTCTAAGAGAAATGTATTTAAGAAAGTTGACTGAATTAATTTGATCATTTTATTTTTCAATTTATTAGAATTAAAATATGAATACTTTTATATAAAAAAATTATTAATAAAATAAATATTACAGATTCCTGCCAAAAGTTTAAATGCTTTTGGCTCAATATAAAACTTAAAATTTTTAAATTTTTATTAAAATACAATATGCTACACATTTGATACTAAATAATTAGTACTTTTTCATGTTTTCATTTGCTTCAATCATAGCCTAAATTTGCTGTGATATACTATCAACCAAATTTTCAATAGTTTTTATTAGAATTTGATTTCATATCCTTATAATATGTTGGTTAAGTTGAGTAAGATTAAAAGGCAAATTTTTCTTTCACATATGCTTTTCTTGATTTCATCCTATAGATTTTCAATAGGATTGAAATCTAAACTTTGAATTGATTATGAAAGTATACACAGATCATTTTCTGCATGAACTTTTTTGCAAGTTTCACTTTGTACAGGTGAGCATTATTCTCTTAAAATATACCATTATGGTTTAAAAATGCATATCTCAT